AACATTCCACTTCTTTCACTTAAAAAACTCTTTGGTTGCTTTTGCAGTATGCTTTGGGTCATTGTCCATCTGCACTGTGAAGCGGCGTCCAATGAGTTTTGAAGCATTTGGCTGAATATGAGCAGATAATATTGCCCAAAACACTTCAGAATTCATCCTGCTCCTTTTGTCAGCAGTCACATCATCAATAAATACAAGAGAACCAGTTCCATTGGCAGCCATACATGCCCACGCCATGACACTACCACCACCATGCTTCACTGATGAGGTGGTATGCTTAGGATCATGAGCAGTTCCTTTCCTTCTCCATACACTTCTCTTCCCATCACTCTGGTACAAGATGATCTTGGTCTCGTCTGTCCATAGGATGTTGTTCCAGAACTGTGAAGGCTTTTTTAGATGTCGTTTGACAAACTCTAATCTGGCCTTCCTGTTTTTGAGGCTCACCAATGGTTTACATCTTGTGGTGAACCCTCTGTATTCACTCTGGTGAAGTCTTCTCTTGATTGTTGACTTTGACACACATACACCTACCTCCTGGAGAGTGTTCTTGATCTGACCAACTGTTGTGAAGGGTGTTTTCTTCACCAGGGAAAGAATTCTTCGGTCATCCACCACAGTTGTTTTCCGTGGTCTTCCGGGTCTTTTGGTGTTGCTGAGCTCACCGGTGCGTTCCTTCTTTTTAAGAATGTTCCAAACAGTTGTTTTGGCCACGCCTAATGTTTTTGCTATCTCTCTGATAGGTTTGTTTTTTTTTCAGCCTAATGATGGCTTGCTTCACTGATAGTGACAGCTCTTTGGATCTCATCTTGAGAGTTGACAGCAACAGATTCCAAATGCAAATAGCACACTTGAAATTAACTCTGGACCTTTTATCTGCTCATTGTAATTGGGATAATGAGGGAATAACACACACCTGGCCATGGAACAGCTGAGAAGCCAATTGTCCCATTACTTTTGGTCCATTAACAAGTGAGAGGCACATATGCAAACTGTTGTAATTCCTACACCGTTCACCTGATTTGGATGTAAATACCCTCAAATTAAAGCTGACAGTCTGCAGTTAAAGCACATCTTGTTCGTTTCATTTCAAATTCATTGTGGTGGTGTATAGAGCCAAAAATGTTAGAATTGTGTCAATGTCCCAATATTTATGGACCTGACTGTATATATATATATATATATATATATATATATACATACACTACAGTATACAGTATATATTTACATATACACATTGATAAGCCATAACTTTTTTGACCACTGGCAGGTAGAATCAATAACATTGTTTGTCTCGTTACAATGGTATCTGAAAGTCGATGAGATATATTAGGGCATCAAGCAAACATGTTGTCCCTGAAGCTGGAGTGTTCAAAGAAGAAAAAATTGACATTGCAGTTTGTTGTGTATGGGGCTGTGTAGCCACAGACTGGTCCAGGTGCCCATGCTGACCCGTGTCCACAGCCAGGAACACCTACAATGGGCACGTGAGCATCAGAACTGGACCACAGAGCAATGGAAGAAGGTGGCCTGGTCTGATGAATCACATTTTCTTTTACAGCATGTGGATGGCCAGGTGCGAGTATGTCACTTACCTGGGGAGGAGATGGCACTAGGATGCAGTAAGGAAAGCAGGAAAACCGGCAGGGGCAATATTCTGCTGGGAAACCTTTGGTCCAGCCATTCATGTGGCTGTTACTTGACATGTGCCACCTCCCTAAACATTGTTGCTATCCAAGTACACCCCTCCATGGAAATGACATTCCCTGATGGCATAGTAATTCTAATTGTATTAAAAATAACCTTATTCAGTTAAGCCCCCCTCCCTAGAAAATTAAAAACAGTTGGGGGGCAGGCAGTGACATAAGTAAAGTTATTTTTGATATATTTAAATTGCTACGATTATGAAATGATTTTTTTTTAGAAAGGGGGGGGAGGGTACCTGAAGTTCTTGGTACAGTGTAGTATCCATGGGGCAGCACAGTGGCTATATATTGGCTATATAGTGGCTATTTTTTTAATATATTAATTATGTCCCTGCATTCCTTATTTCCGTTTTATACTTTGTTATATACACTGGATTTATGTATTTATTATGTGGAGATTATGTAGGTATGTGAATATTAACTATATAGTTGTCTGGGATCGTTGCAATACCGGTAAAGATAAGAGGGACTTTGCCCTATTCAAAAATGGTGCATATGAGCTTAATGGTAATCATGGAGATGTAGATATAAATGGCTGCTGGTACGACGAGCACATCCCTTATGAGGAAGTCGGAAGTGACGAAACGCGTCAAGGCATGTGACATTGCACGTTACAGATTGACTGGAAGTAGCGGAGTGGTCATCTTTACTAAGGTGATATCAATACATGTGGTTCCTGGAAGCTGCTTGGAGATCCTGTCATATGGGAATACATGCGTTTTACTATTTATATCATGTAAGCATATTTTATTAAAGTCTCAAGTGATTGATTTGCATACTACACTATATGGTCCTTTCTTTCCTGCTGGGTGATGCTTTATGGATGGCATTGAGATGTGTATCCTATGAAAGCAATCTTATTCTTATATCATGCTTGGGGACAAGTGTTAGTTCGGTAAGGTGCATGATTTGGAAGGTAGAGGAGAGTGTCACACGAGTGATTATTATATCACATATTTATTTGGAGGATATTGCACTATTATTTTGCACAGCTATTATGGAATGATCCTGAAGGAATTTTTTTTGGAGATTACGTATGGGAAATATTATAATATTATGGGATATATGGTTAGCATTTCCACCTGGCACCACCTGCCTGAAGTTTACATGTTCTCCCTGTGCCTGTGTGGGTTTCCTATGCTCCAAAGACATGCTGGAAGGTTAACTGGCTCCTGTCTAAATTGGCCCTAGTATGTGTATGTATGAATGTAATTTAGGGACCTTAGATTGTACACCCCTGGGACTGATGTGAATGTACAATGTATATATGAAAAGCACTGTGTAAATTGACAGTGTTATAGAAGTACCTGAAATAAATAGATAAATAATAATGTTTTTAGTCTGTACATGGCTATTCAACCCTCTTTTACATAAATACATATATACTGTATACAGTGTATTGGGCCAGCACTCAATATCCACTGTCAGGGTCAATGACAGACCATGACGAATATAATCATTTAAGTGCCAGGATTTATTTAAACATTTAAAGCCAGTGACAGTTTCCTCAATGGACAGTGATATTTAACACTTGTGTAACACTACAGTACCATAAAATAAACAGCAGTTAAATGAAGTGTTGTCTGCAAAATTGACTTTGTATGCTGTTAAACAACCCTGTCAAGTTAAAAACTAAGCCTCCAAATTAAATTCTGATTTGTTGGCTATTCCCAATTCTGGTTCCCTTTACAGTGACCATGTCAGGCCTTTATAGAATTCCCAGTGGCAGGTCCCTGTAATAGAAGAGGTATTATACTCACTTCTCTAGGATCCTGTGTGTTCTACCTTCCCTCCTTCCCAGCACTGCAACCTCTCTAAGACTTTTTGGGATTCCACATGTTGGGAAGTGTTGGATTTCTGTGTTCCTAACTGTGTGCCGTGTTTCAATCTTCAGATCCCAACATCACTACAGGACACAGCAGTGACATAAGGGTTTGAAGGATGGAACCACCAAGGTGAGTGTAAACACTTCTCTATTGCAGGGACCCTAAATTATGTTTTTTTTTTAACCTGGCAGGGTTACTGTAAAGAGAACTTGTCCCAACTTAACAAAATGTAAGACAAATCATGTTTTTTCATTGTTTATTTTCAGCATGGTACATTTCTATAAATGATTGTTCATTACCTTGCAAACTGCCTCTGAACTTGCTAGAAAGTTAGGCTGGTCTGGGTACAATCAATTCCCTAGCACAGCCCTCTCTATCCTTGCATGTCATAGCCCTCTCCCTTTCTGGGAAAGTCTAAATATTCTCTGTGTTGGCCTAGCTCCTCCATCCTTCCCCTTACCATTGTACACAACCTTTTATGTAGCTGCCAGCAGAAAGGCAAATACTAGCAAGTATTCTCAACAAGGTTTGCATGGAACCCTAGGGTTTCCCCAAAGATTGATAGGCATTTTTCAAGCTGTGGCTCATTGACTTCTATCTGCCTTTCAGGACCAATGGTATTTGGCAAAAGTAGTAGAATGAAAATAATGATCATTTTTTAGGAGTCTGCATGGGTGTCATTTTGATCAACAGTGTAAAGGCTGCATTTTTCCATCTCAGCACCAACATAATGGGCATTTTCCCCATTGATCCAGATGATTTGGACTTAGTAAGGGTTCCCTGAAAATCATTTTAAGTGATCCTCTGGGGTAAATATGTTATGCTATAGAGTGTCACTGGAGTCTGCTGGTACCTCTGACATTATATCTAAGATGGCAGTGAGCTGCAGTCTCAGGACTTCTGTATGTCTACGTAAGGGAGGATTTTAAAAGTATATTACATGTGTAAAATATGTTGAAAGCACATATAATCATATGCAAAGACTGTTGTTAAAATTAATCGATCTCTTTAACCAAGAAAAAATGCTTTTTAATACCATTGGCACATAGAGATTTTGCATGCAAAGAACCTATTTGTAAACCTGTAACTATTGCAATAAAAAATAAAACATCATGGCCATGAACAGTTTTGTCAGCTGGTGGTCAACACTGTCTAATTTTTTTTTAAGTTTATTTGATCTGGAAAATGTTGAGCACCAAGAAGGGCCTCACTCTGTACTTTGGAATTCATCTTCGTAAATGGTTATTGAACATTTTTTATATAAATATAATAATAATAATAAATAACGTGGCGGAGAAGGACTGTAACCGCTGCATCAGATGTGAGGTTGGGGGGGATCTTAGCAAGTAATCAAGCCAGCAGTTGACCAAACTGGGCAAAGTCTAATGTCTATTTAGCAAATTATTCTCTTGTATTCATATTCTTTTTTCCTAATTTGCAAACATATTCTAAAAAGCAACAAACTCACTGTTGTGTCATTGGTGGTTACATAGACCAAGACATCTGACGAATTGCGGCTGTTGATGTATCGATAACAGTTCCACACACAGCTGATTAGGTAAGCCTGGAAAAAACACAAAGAATTCATCAAATAAAATTGATGCCACCTATAACTATTGATTATCTTAAAATAATTCAATAACAGAGTTTCCAGAGCCACCATCTGGTCTGTGTATAAATATATTTCCTTTGTAAACTGTACATAAGTACATAAGCATGGATTGTACGGCGAATGCTTCCTTCCTTACTGACCTCGCTGCCTCTGAAATCTTGAGATTTCAAACATACGGTATAATTAGTTGGGAAAGACAGACACTGCTGACATTACATATCACATGTCCAGTATACAGGTAATTGGGGTGTCAGTTCAGCACTGTTCACATGCCACAGTGAAGTAAGGTGTTTGGGGTCAGACTCAACACGAAACATTAACATGGAAAAGACAATGCTTTTACATATTTCAACTACTTTACAAACCCTGAATGAGCAATATAGATCATATCATTACAATAGCAACTTTCCATGAAAAAAGAGTTTAACCACAAATTTTTTATTTTTTTCGCACAATCAGCATTTTTTGCTAGAAATTACTTGAAACCTCCAAACAATTACACATTTCTTTGAAAGCAGAGATCCTGAAGAATAAAATAGTGGCAGTTCCAATTTTTAACGTTGAACAATGTTTGCGCAGCTATTTATCAAGCTACTTATAAAAAAAAATATATAAACTGATAACAAACATGTAAAACCTTAAAATTGCATACACTCATAAAACGGCAAAAACATTGGTACCCAAAATTCTCCACAAACAATGCTTTAAAAGCCTTTGCAGGTTACCAGTTTAAAGTTATCATGAATGATTGTCCTGGAATTATTGCCCTCACTCCATTGGTCACAGTGATACCTCACATGTGTGGAGCAATTTATGTCTACATACATTTGCATGCCCTACGCTGTGCATTTGCATTGAGGTGTGGGGAGAGTACTTACAATTTTTTTACATTTATTTTAGTATAATCTACTTTTTGAAAGCTTTTTTATTTTTTCTTTATTTAACTTTATTGCTATCACAAGCCCCCTCTTTATAGAGGTATCAGATGTCTGTTAGATCTCCAATGTCTCCCATGCCCTTCACAGATTGTACTTGATTAGCTGTATCCTCAGCTACAGTAGTCTGAGAATGACAGCTGTGAACCCAGAAGTGATGTAATACATGTCGATTCTGGGTTTATTACTCACAGGGGGAAGGATGTTTGCTGTTCCCTTCCTGCTCTTAAAGTTTCAGCAGTTTACCGCGGTACCAGGCTCTCCAGACAACCGGTAGAGCCCAAGAACCACCGTGGGTGCCACCACCAGAGAGGTGCGGGTGCACCTTTGGAGCCCATAAAAGTGATCGAATGGCTCTAGAGCTCCCTGGATAACTCTTTCCTGAAAGCCCTTTGCTTACTCTAAAACTCAATAGCAAGCTTACGGCATGGGGTTGAAGTACTGTATCTATTAAGCCAAAATGTTTTTTAATTTCCTGATATCCCTTCACTTTCAGCCCCTGTGACAACGGTCACCATGACAAATACAAAGAAGGCATCTCAGGCTGTAATAAAAACCTGGCAGAGGCTCTACTCTATTCAAAACTAAGAAAAACTTTTGGCTTCAGATACACTTTAAAACCCATCATTACAATTTATTATGGCCAGTAACAATCTAAAAACCTGGAAGCAACTAGAAAAAGAACTACATAAAGAATCTGTTTCCTTGTATTGCATATGTTCATTTACAAATGTAGACCGATTGCGTTGAATATGCTTGAAGTAAGTGAAGAATAAGCAATGTTAAGACCACACTGGCTTGTGGGGTAAGAGCCACATGTAAGCGATTATTTGGAATAGAGAACTACATATGTTGAACTTAAGGTTTTATGTTAATCTGGGCCAAATTCCTAGAGTTATGCTTCATGCAATTACTCTGTTGAGAACATTGTTAGGTACATGTACAGGATTGAGGCTATGCACATTTTACGGATATAATTGTTCTCATGCTTACTTTCCTAACTTTCCCATCTTGCCCTCTTCTGTCTGCAGAACAAAACACATCACCATCAGTTTTTAAATAAATCACAAAAGGACTTCCCAAGCAATGAGGTTTCTGTCTATGATCTGTCGACATGCACATACATGTATCTTCCACATTTTTTCCCTTCATTTGGATACATATGTTTATCTCCAACTGTCACGGAGTCCATGCACACTTGACAGTTATTTTGCATATAAACATTTATTACATGACAATGAATTCCTACAGCAGGGAGTGCATTAAGGTAAAAAAAATGTCTTGACTTTAGGACCATTTTAATATATATGTATATTTAGCTATAAAATCATCACTCGGAGTTGAATAAAGGCGATCCTGTACTAAATGGAAAAACAATGTATTGCAATTGCACTGGATGGATTTTATTACTTGTGTACACTGCAAACCTTTCGTTGAATTGCGGCATTATCACGGGAATTGCTTTTCCAAAGATACAGGATATAATCTCTATTAGAGCCATAATGCAGTGAGATGTGTGTGAGAGTTTGAGCCTCATAGGGACAAAGCCAAGCTGAGAACTTTGCCATGACAATGTTTATTCAAGTGTTTAAGTTTCCTGAACAGATGTATAACTTCAGGGCTGCATCCAAGCCTCCCTATAAAAATCATCGAACATTAAAATATATTCAGGAACAGTGATTGTAGAAATAAGTGAACATGTCTTCCTCTCTCTAACACCCATTGCTATTCAGTCTATGGGTCAGGATTCAAAATAATGCCTCACAATATTTTTCTAGGGTCCCAAGAAGGCAAAAAATGATATTCAACAGAAAACTAGGGCCTCAGCACTAAATCAACTTTTGGGTTAAAATATGTAAAAAGCACACCCTGCAACAGAACTGGGTTTATACTCACCTGTCTCGCCACCCATTACATAGTTACATAGTTAGTCTGGCTGAAAAAAGACAAAAGTCCATCCAGTTCAACCATTGAAAAAAAAAAGAAAAGTTACAATCCTATGCTCACAGGCAAAAAAACCCCAGCAAAGCATGATCCAATTTGCTCCTGCAGGGAAAAAAATTCCTTGCTGATCCCCGAGAGGCAATCAGATATTCCCTGGATCAACTTTACCTATAAATATTAGTATCCAGTTATATTCTGTGTATCTGGGAAAGAATCCAGACCTTTTTTAAAGCAATCCACTGAGCTGGCCAGAACCAACTCTTGAGGGAGTCTATTCCACATTTTCACAGCTCTCACTGTGAAGAAACCTTTTTGTGTTTGGACATTAAATGTCTTTTCCTCCAGACGTAAAGAGTGCCCCCTTGTCCTCTGTGATGATCTCAGGGTGAATAGCTCTACACTGAGTTCACTATATGAACCACTGATGTATTTATACATGTTGATCATACCCCCCCCCCCCTTAATCTCCTCTTCTCAAGAGAGAATAAATTCAGTTCCTCTCATCTTTCCTCATAGCTGAGCTCCTCCATGCCTCTTATCAGTTTTGGTTGCCCTTCTCTGCACTTTCTATAGTTCCCCAATGTTCTTTTTGTGAATTGGTGCCCAAAACTGAACTGCATATTCCAGATGAGGTGTTACTAATGATGTGTACCGGGGTAATATGATATCTCTCTCTCTGGAGTCTATACCTCTTTTAATACAAGAGAGGATTTTGCTCGCTTTAGAAACCGCAGCTTAGCATTGCATGCCATTATCAAGCTTGTGATCTACCAGAACCCATTCCTCCATTATTTGCTCTCTCTGCAGAGCAATAGCCTCTTTACATCCAATACACATTCAGATGTGTCAAATATTTGGTTCTAGTCTGTGCTCTGTGGTTCCTATTGCTACCACTTATGTCACTACAGGAGGAAGGAACCACAGCACATGGCAGTGGAAGCAAGAAGCAAGCTTCTGACACCCTTGGAGGTTTCAAATGTGATTTTATTTTAGGCAACCATAGCTCATGCATAGAGCAAAGATCACAGAGGTGGGTGGTGGGACCAGTGAGTTCAAAATCCTGCTTTTTTAAATTTTTTTCTTACTTAGTGCCAGAGTCCTTTATGAAGGTTAAAGAGAAACTGTAATGGCATTATGGTACTTTATATATTGTTATATATTATTAATATATTTAATTAATTAAATAATAATTACATGAAATAATTAGTCCATATTTTCATATTATTATATATTCTCTCTCATCGTGTAGCTCCTCCCAGTTTCACCTTGAATCTTCCCTTTTGTTAGGTGTTTTCCCTCCCTCCAGCAGAAGACAAGAGGCCCAATAAACTATGGTGGGTGGTTGTGAAGGAATGTGAAATATTGCATGGCACATCTGATTGTGGCACATTGCATTTCACATTAACTATTATGTTGCAACACGTACAGTTTATTAGGTGCAGAAACCATAATCTTGACTATCTGCCCAACTCCGTTGTGCCAAATACTGATGACCTAATTTTTTTGAAAGACTATATATTGGGCACCGATTATATTAAATTTATGTGACATGTTCGACATGTGAAACTTTGGGATTTTTTTAACATTTGGTACGCTCGTCACATGCTGTTCAAACCTTACAACTTGAACGCTTTTTGGCACATTCCATACATCAGTGCTCCATGCGACAAATATTTGGTGTGTCATTAATGATTGTAAAGTTTAATTTAACAAACATGTTAAATGTACCTATTCTGTGCAACAGAATTGCACAGAGTGGCCTCGAACCTCCTCTTTTTGGGTTTCTTGCGGGCGATCCTGGTTCCTCCCCTTCTCGGCATGTCACCATAGGAAGCTACTTCCTAATGTGGTACACCTGCAGGCACGATACCAAGCCATGCTACCTGCATCCATAGACACAGACAGTTTGGCTCGGCCCCACCCCCTGCTTCCTCAGCACAGGATTTGACTGACAGCAGCGGCAGCCAATGATTCCTGCTGCCTCAGCAAAGCCTCTGAGAGTGGGGAGAGCTGCTACACATGGGCACAGCACAGAATCAAGTGAGGGTTCAGGTTAGTATGGGGGGGAATGAAGGGTGATATTATTACTTAAACATTTTTTACCTGAGTGCAGGGAATGCATTAGGGTAAAAATGTTTAGGCTTTAGAACCACTTTAAAGCAGAATTTCAGTTTTCTTTGCTTTAAAGCCCAACTCTACCTTGCAGTGCTCATGTAGGTCTAGAGGGTAAAGAAAACTAGATTTAACTACCTGACCCTCAGCTCCTCTGTGCTACTGCTCTGGCCCCTGCAGCATATTTTATTTCCCTCCATGCTCCAGTGGTCCATGGTGTTGACGTCATCAGAACTATTGCAGGGCCCATAGCCCTGCATTAGATGAGAGGATGTCCAGACAGTCAATGGGGGAGTAACAGTAAGCAAAACTGCTTTTACTCTACCCCAGACCTAAATGAGCAGTCAGTAAGTTTCAGTAAACCCACCTGTCTTTGGCATTATTATCTCTAAACGTGTGGCCTCTATTTTGGTACAAAAAAGGGACACAGCTAAGTATAGTATAAACTGCTTTACTGGCTAAAAAGGGGATACATTTGGCCACTCACAAGATCTGAAGGAGTACAGCGCATATCTACATCAGTTGCTTTTCCAGCACACACAGCCCAATACAGCAGATGGAGATAGCTGGCATCCTAAAACCGCTCTTGGGCAGTTATGTGTCCCCATCAGCGTGCAGTAGAGAAATATCAAAGGTGTTTGGAAGGTGTGGCTACGCATTTTGGGGGACGCCCCCTTTGTATATCCTCTGTAATACCCATCTATTACATAATTTTGTCTATCAAATTTCTCTTGAGGAAGAGCAAGTCTCGAAATGCGTTGAATATGTGGGCAGGATATCTTTTCCAGTAAGTGAAGTATTGTGAAGTTTGAGATAATATGTTGCTTTATGCACCATGTATGGATATGTGACAAGATGTGAGGTGCAATGATCTTTGGCCTGTGTAGAGATTTTTGGTTTTAACTGTGGAATAATAAAGCTTTCTTAAACTTTTTTGTTTTGTTGATATGGTGCTAAAAAAGTCCCTGCCACCCAATACTTCTTTTATTCATGCAGCACTGATTGGTGTATTCTGACAGTGGGGAAGTCACCCCTCTGCCAAGATACAAAGACACAGCGGGAAAGTTTCCTCCATCCGCATCAAATGTGTGGATGGGGGAATCTGGTCAGTTTTTTTTTGTTCCCCCCGCTGTTAGAACAAAACTGACAAATATATGAGCAGTTGAAGACTTGTAGTCTGTGTAATCTGATCGCCCTCCAATTCAGATCTATTATCTAGAACAATTTTTACCTGGATCCTGCAAGAAGCTCGTAATCTTTTGCACCTCTTGGCTTCATGTATACCGACAGGGTTTTTTTTTTACTAGTATATTTATTAAATATTAAAAATAGAAAAATATGCAAAACGTCCTTTAAATAGCAACGGGAGGAGGAAACAGAAAATAAACTTTTAATCTATTCCTTCAACTTTTCTACAGCATTTCACCCCTTCATTAAAGAACAGAATGTTATATTATAGATGGACTTCATACTGATAAATGATCTTGTCTCAATACAATTAAAATAAATACCTCCACCAATATAAGAGCCTTATTTTCTCATCTAGAAGACAAAGCCCAGCCATCACAGCACTTACCTTAAAAGCCAGGATGATACTGATGAAGAATAGAATGATCACAACAAGACATGTGGGATTCACAGACAGAATCTCTTCCTTGTATGGGAAACTGGATGGCTGCAAGAGAAATAGATTGTTGTTATAATGGATTCTATTTGAAAACACAGGATAATAAATTACTTGTGTCATCTCTGCTGGATGGAAAGAGTTTCCAGCTGCGATCCCACTCTGGGCATATGTAACGCTGTGAAGGGCTATTACTGGCTGGCGTTATGTCAGGAAAACAAACACAATTAGGTGACATGACAGATTTAATCTCTTATTCCTATTATTCTTCCTACTCTTATTAGAAATAAAAGCTTTAAGAGCATACTGGGACAGCTGTATGGAGATATGTGGATCTCACAGAATTGTTGGTCTTAATTAAGCAGTGTGAGGAGCCTTGTTGGATTAGGCACTTTGAGTTTCAGAACTGTTTGTGTCTAGGATAAAAACGTTTTTTTGCAAGATTTTAAGTGGAGTAGGGAATGGGTTAGCAACCCTGTCCAGATTTTACTATTGTCTGTGTCCTTAATGGGGAGATTCACCCTTTCTATTTGTCCTGCATTGTCCCCAGGTATAAAAGTAAAGGAAAATCCAACATTTTGATCTTTCAACAGAACAAAAATAGATGGAAAGTCTTTCAATGAGGACATGTGGTGAACTCAAGAGAGGAGTTTCCCTGCTATTAATGTCTATGGGACATGATGCGAAGTAAAATGTCTCCAGTGGAAAAGAAATGGCCAAAAAAAAAAAACCTGATGGATTTTTTCTCTTTCCCTACTCTATCCACAACTAAATAAAGATTTTAGGCTTTAGTTACACTTTAATTATCTCGTATGAGGGAAACGTTCAGACTCCCAAGAACATCTGGCAGTCCAGGAGGAATGGAAACGTTTGTACCAGCAGGATGGTCCTTGGATTCCTCTGCTGCCATCTCCTGCTATCTTTGGTTTAGGGGACCTGGTGTAACTTGCAGGTGTTAAACATGAAGTGACCTTTTTCCAAGCTGAACAGCTCTCAGCTGATTGTGTACTTTGCTTGCCAGTCACAAACACTGGTATCTTCCATATTCAGGCTTATAGCTGGAATAGTGAAAACAGGAGATATAGATCTAAGTAAAGATGTTTTTCAAACTTTTAAATGTGGACTGACGATAGACCAAGGCCCCCAAAAATGGGTGCGTCCTCCAAACCCATACAAAAGTCTTGCTAATAGTTATTCACTGATAGTGAATATTTTTTTGGCTCTTGGGGTTCCTAAAAGTAAACTGTTAATGAAAGAAAAGTGAGTTCAGTCATTGCTTCCTTCTGAAACAGTTAGTTGATTGGCTTCAGTGCTGATGTTATTTTCTACTTTCTGAGTCGCTGACATGGAACAAACATGCATATCGGGAAAGTCACAATGAAGTCAGAACTAATATATTCTACATATTGACCTGTTCTCAGTCAGTGACTTAGGAAGAAGTCAAGTAATTTGGTCAGCATAAATATACAAGTAGAAGAGCACCAGAATTGTACAAAACTATTTTTTTTAATGTGTTAAGCAAGGAGACAATGCATTTGGGGCGTTCCAAGGTGCTCCTTTCATCATAACATTGAAAATGGTGGATGGAGCTGTTGCAAAATAAGACAAAGCAAATGGAGCAAACTTAGTGGGTGTTTTAGACTGTTCTCAAGGGAAACTCTATACCATATAGATCACGCTGCATCCAGGATTTCCAAGGAAATGGGACCCATGGAACCTCTTTAACATGCTGGTTTCTTTTTTTAACAGGTCTTTTTTTATTTTAAATAAAACATATTTTGGACACAAACAATCATTCTGGTGCTCCCCCTCTTATCTTTATGCTGATCAAAAGAGCTGAACTCTTTCTAAGTCACCAAGAAGATTCTTTTAGCTGGGTTCCTCTAGTTCCCTGCACAGGGCAGTTTAGACCAGCCTTTCTCAATGTTATTATTATGAAGGAACCCATGAAATAGCTTTCAGAACCCCTGCTAATAAGTACTATATTTACAGCTATAATGAAACAGAATAAGTACTATATCTACAGAGTGATTAAGAAGAATGAGGAATGTGTGCCAGTGTAAATGACACCTAGGGCTGTGCTATTCAACAATATTATTTACGGTAATAATATTAATGAAAAAATAAAAATAATAGCCAGTAAAGAAATGCAGACAGAGAAAACTATAGTGTTTCCTTACATAAAAATACCCCATCAAATTAGTGGTCAGTTAAAAGGTTATCCTTTTCAATGATCATCAGTGAAATGCTCACTGCATTGATGGTCAATGTAGACAGGTCCTCTTACCTTGATGGTCAATGTAGACAGGTCCTCTTACCTTGATGGTCAATGCAGACAGGCCCTCTTACATTGATGCTCAGTGGGAAAATATTTCCCACTTCATAGATCAGCAGGAAGAATGCTCCATACCTTGGTGATCACTGGGTTCGAACACTGGCTAAAATGAATTGACTTGTTTGACAGGTAAGACCAGGGGTGGACTGACCATTTGGAAACTCGGGCACTGCCCGAGGGCCCGGGGTCAGTAGGGGGGGCCCCATGAGATGCCCCTGGTACCTTTTTCATAGGCTTTTTTGAGTTTGGGCAAGGACACAGGGGCCCCATGATCCCCTATTGCCCGGGGCCCCATGAGTTGTCAGTCCACCCCTGGGTAAGACAGTTCATGCATACTGTATCCATGTCAACTATGAGTTTGTTTACACCTCCACAATCAATGAATTATAATCAGATGAGTAGATATGCACATAATCCAATAGTACAAGTGATACATGACTGTTTTAGTATCTCAGCAAATAGCTACATGTGCTACAAAACACCTTTTCTAGAGATGAACATTTTCATGAATTTGTTATGAAAATCCCAGTGCTGAGTTAACTGTAACACAGGAGTGATTTCATTGTGTACCACGCTCCCCCCAGGAAATGACGTCATCCTGATGGCCTATGTTCAAGGCAAATTGAGCCAAACAGACACTGAATGAAATGTCTCATACAAATACACATCTCAGTTTTAGAACAGAGACGTGCTCTATGATATCATCCAGCAATTAAAGTCTATAGTTGCTTAAATGGCAAAATACATGCCAAGTACAGAAATTATAACAATATAACTGACAACTGGAAAACACAAAACTGCTAATTATCTTGATTTATTATTTTTCTTGCTACAAGACTGCATGACTGCTGGCTTTGTGTCAACTTTCTGATATTGGATCATAAAAATTACTTTAAAGGGAAAAAACAGTAAATCGATATTTTGAGTGTAGCGCAACCTCCGTAGGTGTTGCTGGTATTTTGCCCAGGCCTTCCCCCAAATCTTCACCTGCAGCCAAGGACACAGTATTTCCTATAGCAGGTGCACACAACTTCCACTTACTCCAATGATCAGTCTAGGGGTTGTAGTTTTTTTTGTTGTTTTCTATTTTGTTGTGGAACAGGGATAGGAAACAAAATAGTGAGATACTCCGAATTTAACTATTCATAATTGAGGACAGCTTTCTCTAAGTGGATCTGTGGGTTCTCTTAGTAGAACTGTGTAGCAGATTGTACAAAGAATAGAGCAAAGTCCTTCTGTAGAAATTTAGAAACTAAATGGACAGTTGCTCTTCCGGACACCATCTGGTGTCCCCTCTAGCTTACACTCAGCAGCTGACTATGTAGGTCCTGAGGGGGTTAAACAGCACAAGTCCCAGGATCCCTTTTAAATGGTCTGCACTCACAAGGCCCTTGCTGCAAGTCACCTTCCTTCATGATGCACCCAGGGTTTCAGAAATCTGGCCCCTCGAGTCACCCACCCAAGGCCTCCTGGTAGCATGAGCTGCTCAGAGTGGTGGGGGAGAACTGAGTGATCAGCAGTCTTTGATCGCTCAGTTCTCATTGCAGAGCCGGCGGTGGACAGATGCAGCTTCAGATCGATGTTGCAGCCACCTAGGTGAGTATGATTTTTTTTTGGGGTCATGGGGTCATCTGGCAAATGTTTTTTAACGTGCTGCGAATGCATTAAAAAGTGCAGAAAATGCGCCATTAATGCATCTTAACGCATTAGGTGCATTCATGGGTGCTTTAATTTCTTTGCATGTCTAAATGAGCCCTAGGAGAGGGTTATAATCTCTGTCAATTTTTTTTTGCCATCTGTATTAAATTGGTGATATTTCCCTTCACTTCCTGTCCTACAGTCAAAACAGGAAATAGGAGGAAATCCCATCAAAATGAGGAAATCCTTGGTTGTCACCAGAACTAGTGTTACCACTGGAAAATTTCCCTCCAATTCCTATTTTGGAGACAACCCAAAATTTGGGATTTCTTTCACTTTCACCCTCAGTGATAAAGGTAAAAAGGACAAATGGAGAGGGTGAGTCTCACTAACCAGGGCACAGACAGCAATAAAGCCTGGCATGTGTCCTAATCCCACTCTACTCTATCCAAGACTAATTACTGCCTTCAGTTATACATACTTTAATCAATAGCTCACTAAGGAGCAATCTATGACAAAGATTGGATCTTGCTATCCACTCTCTGTTAGGCTCTGCAGTGTGACTCTATAAGGTAGTTTGCATTATATGGCCCATTCATAAAATGCAGGCCACATGACAGCAGTGATGTTTTATGGCATTCTTATGGGATCACTCTCTGCCAGGGAGGAGCATTCAATGTTTTTATTTTTTTTTTTCAATTAACCACTTGCCCTCCAGAGGATTTACCCCCCTTTCTGACAAGGCCATTTTTTTACATCCCCAGTGACAACAATACAGTGATCAGTGCTAATAAAAAGCACGGACACTGTACTAATGACACTGGGCAGGAAGGGGTTAACATCTGGGGTGATCAAAGGGTTAACTGTGTGCTGTTTCACAGTCAGCTGTGTGTGTGTTTTCAACACTAAGAACACTGCTTTGTATGGCTGTGCTATGCAGACCCATACAAAGCAGTGTGCAGGAGCTGACAGGGGACAGAACTGTATTGTTGACATACAGTTCTCTCCCCCATTGGTAATACTCAGCGATCGCCAGCTGCCGGAGAGTAATCACTGTTCGGGACCCGGTGATTGACAG